GAAACCAGGGGTGGGATTCACATTTTTTAACAGCATTTCTGTGCCCATGGCTTCGTTGGTAGGCATGACTTGGTGGACATGTGACTGGGTGGGTGTGGCCAATTTGACATCACTCATATCGAGGGGCGCTTCTCCTCACCTGGCCTCTCGTGACTGTGGGGATGCTGCAATGGTTGTAAGTGTGAAAAAGAGTCATAAGTCACTTTATTCGGTGCCATTGTAACTTTGAATGGTCACTAAATGAACTGTTGTAAGTCAAGGATTACCTGTACAAAAATACAAAAAGCTTATTTGCTTGCAAAAAGCTGTCCTAAATACCAATCATTAGATTAAAAATACCTGCAAGCTGGAGTTACCTTGAGGAATTAAAATAGTTAAAATGCAATGATAAATATCAGCAGCCAACTCTTGCTCATAAAGTGAGGTCACAAGCTCTCCAGAAAGAGCACACCCAGGAGAAGCAATCCTTAGATCCATTTGCACCATTTAAAGATGCCAGCTGGTCTCACTCATCTCACAAGATATCCTAAGGAAATCATCCAGATTTGAGGAAAGATCACATGTCCCCCAGAAAGGCAGTAAAAAAGTCAGTGCCAAGCTTGCATCCTGCCTCTTGGAAGTACACCCCAAAAGGACATTGCCAGATACCACTAAAGCAGTGAAGGGGGAAAAAGCCCTCCTCAGATTAAAAAAATCACAAGGCAGGAAAAAAAAAACCCAAACACAATAGAAATAATTAAATAACAACAATAGCTGTTACTTGTTAAACTAATTATCAGAACAAATAGACACAGGAACTAGCCAGATTTCTCAAACCAGTTTCTTTTCAGGAACAGAGATTAACCTTTTTCTTTCCAAACAAAGCTGAACAGGGAATTTTTTTCCATCAATAAACACAGAATTAAACATCACCAAGGACAGAGATAAACTTCACCAAAAACCAGTTTTACATCAAAACTCAGAAAGGGTATGTAAACTCACGTTTGAATGTCAATCTTTCTAACTAGCCTAGAAGCCTTGCTGAATGTCACTTGTCTTGGTTCCTTGTCATTAAAAGTTTCTTTCTGGCAACTCTGCTTCATTATTCAATTATTTCTTCAAAATGCTAACTCCAACAGGGGAGTATTTCCTCTCAACAGCAGTGTAGAAAGCTTAAAACAATCCTTCCCCTTTAAGAAAGTCAAGCTATCAGGTTTTCAACTAAAATGGCTACACATATGTCAATTCTGGGCTGCAACATGCAGAGTACCAGCAAAGGAGGAAAAAAAAAAATCCAGAGAAGCTCCGGAGACAGGAAGTCTAGTCCTGCCAAGAATGTAATAAGGGTTAATGGAGAGGCAGTTTTTGTAAGCAACAACTTCAGAATGTAAGGAATACCTTCCTTACAGGATTGGGCCTGTAAAGTGGAGAAAAACAAAAGGAGAATTCTTCTAACAACCAATTCTCCAAACTGCTTAGAAAGTTAACAACCTGTTCTAGAGAATAGGTGTAAACCGGTAGAATCCCACCCCTGGTTGAAACATTATTTGAAACCTTTTCTTATGAATAGTATTCTTCTCCTACAAGTTAATTGCTTTTCCTCCTCCTCCTCCTCTAGGATTTAAAGGGGACTTTCCCGATTTGAAGGATTCCTTTATTTCATGCTCTTCATCATTTTATATTCCTAAACTGCCACCAAGCTATCATAGCCAAACCCTCTTCTCTACAGAAATCCCAGTTAAATATTATCTGCTGGTAGTTGCTCAGTCTCTGCATTAGGCCAAACAGTGAAGGGGAGACTGAACTTCTCTGGTTCACTTGTGAAGCTGTGAAATTGCTCCTCATCTTAAGAAATTTTTCTTTTAATTCAGCCAGAATATCATTACTGAGTTCATTTTATCATGTTCCAGACTCTGGCATAATTGTGAACAGATCATAAGCTTCTGTATAACATCTTTCAGTTTTTGAAAACTTGCTCTATCCTTCTCTCCAGATACAACATTATTAGAAAAGGTGCTTCCAGGGACCTGATTTTCAGCTCCTGAAGATCCACATGCCTCTTCTTCTGGTCTTTCCTGAAGGCTAAAACCAGCTCCTTTGAATTCTTTCTTAACTTCATTACCCTTCCCTAAAGTTGATCCAGGTTTTCTGAAATGTCTTCTCCAAGAAAGGAGGATTGATACTTGAGTTGGGATCCCCCCAAATTAAATGTTCACATCCTGAAGTTCTTATGGATGCATTTCTATTATTTTCTTTCCATGAGCAACTCACTGCTTCCACACATTTAGCTTGCAATCACTTATTATTTTGATATCATTTTCACTAATATCCCTATCAAGTTTGGTCATTCTTTTTCAGTGCAACATTGAAGTTTTGGTAAAAAGTGTTATAGTCCTGGTTGCTAAAAGTCATTTCCTACCGGAGTTTACTCATGCACCTCTATCAGGAAAACACCTTTGTGGGATAGAAACTTGACATTTTTAGAAAAGATCAAAAGTATCTAAGTATTGGTACAAATCTTTGACAAAATAATATTTTACCAATTCTACTGTCAATGACAATATAGAAGAATAGATGACCAAAGATTAATTGTTATCTATAACTACATAGTTTTTATGAGAAAAATTAAACAGATTAAAAATTATCTGAGTTTTTATCCAGTTAATTATCATACTATCCAGCTATCCCTTAAGTTGGTTACTAATAATCACCTAACATAATCATTTGCTAGGACAGGTAAGTCCTCCACTTACAAGCACAACTGAAAACATTTTTTTTCTAATAGAGATCATTGTTACCTGAATTTTGCCCCATTTTATGACCTCTCTTGCCAGAGTTTTTAAGTGAATCACTGCAGTTGTTAAGTTAGTAACAAGGTTGTTATTAAGTGAGAGTGGCTTCCCCATTGACTTTGCTTGTCAGAAGATCACAAAAGGGGATCACATGACCCCAGGACACTGCAACCATCATAATGTGCATCCAAATTTGGTCACATGACAAGGAGATGCTGCAATAGTCATAAGTGTGAAAATTTTGTTATAAGTCATTTTTTTCAGTGACGTAACTTTAAATGGTCACTGAATTAACTGTTGTAAATGGAATTTTGTTGAAATAAATTATATTATCATCATTCTCATAAGCTATTAAAGAACTTTAATGATATGCAAGAATAACTTTGAAATAAGGAAGAAGATAACCTGCCCAGGAAGTGATCAAATAAAGTAGGGGATCCTGCAGCAGCATAAGAGCCAGCAAACAAACTCAGAAAGGATCCTCCCTAAATTTTCAGGCTGGAAAATGAATTGGTGGGAGATTTGTACTTTTAGACTTACAAGATTCTCTTAATAGCACTCCAATAAAGTTGAGTTAGTTTCTGTGATTGTATTACCAGGGGTGGGATTCAATTTTTTAAACAACCCGTTCTGTGGGCGTAGCTTAGTTGATGGGCGTGGGTTGGTGGTAATGTGACTGTCTGGGTGTGTTCAACATTTTTATTTATTTATTTATTTGGTTTGTCAATTGCTTACAAGATAATAGGTATAAGTAAAAACATAGTTATGAATACATGGATACATATAAGAAAAATAAAAAGTATATAAAAGAAACAATAGGATAGGGATGGTAGGCACATTGATGCGCTTATGCATCCTCCCTACAGACATCGTAGGAAAGGTGTGAGGTCAATAGTAGAAAGTCTAAGGTTAAAGTTTTTGGGGTTTGGGGAAGAAACCACAGAGTCAGGTAGAGTATTCCAGACATTGACCACTCTGTTGCTGAAGTCGTATTTCCTGCAATCAAGTCTGGTGTGATTAACCTTGAGTTTGTATCTATTGTTTGCTCTTGTGTTGTTATGGTTGAAGCTGAAGTATTCAGCTAGGATAGGACATTGCAATGTGTGATTTATATACTATACTTAGATTGAACTGAAGTCGGTGTAGTTCTAGGTTTTCTAGGTCTAGAATTTCAAGTCTGGTGGCATAAGGTATTCTGCAATGAGTAGAAGGATGGAGAACTCTTCTTGTGAAATATTTCTGGACTTTCTCAATTGTGTTAATATCAGTTATGTAATGTGGGTTACAGACTGATGAGCTGTATTCGAGTATTGGTCTAGCAAATGTTTTGTATGCTCTAGTTATTAGTGTAATATTACCAGAGAAAAAGCTACATAAGATTAGGTTAACAACTCTTAACAAGTCTTAATCACTCACTCACATCAAGGCATTCATCTTCTCACCTGGCCTCTCATGACTGTGGGGATGTTGCAATAGTTATAAGTGTAAAAAATGGTTATAGGTCACTTTTTTCAGTTCCATTGTAACTTTGAATGGTCACTCCACACAAGCAAACTACCAGCAAAGGAGGGGGAAAAAACTCCAGAGAAGTTCCAGAGATAGGAAGTCTAGTCCTGCCAAGAATGTAAAAAGGGTTAACAGAGAGGCAGTTTCTGTAAGCAACACCAGAATGTTTCCTTCCTGCTTTCACTACAGGATTAGGCGAGTAATTTCTTCTAACAACTGCTTCTCTGAGCTGCTTAGAATGTTAACAACCAGTTCTAGCGAATAGATGCGAACCTGTAGAATCCCACCCCTGCATATTTCTTTGTTTTTATAAAACCCACCCCTGCATATTTCTTGTCTTGTCTACTTGGGAGCAGGTTAGCTTGGGAACTTTCATTTTGGAAAAATGCATGCTTTCTGGTAATCAACCTGTTGTTTTCAAGGAGTTTATGAACTTTTTGCTGTTGTTCAATTTATTTGATATCTGCTATAGAATGCTTCCTATAAATTGATCAAATGTGCCTATTACATTTTCTCAATACAATTTTTTTAATATACAATTGACAAACTTTGCTGAACTTTTCTCATTTACTTATGAACTTAGTGGTAACACCTATGGTCCTAATTAAGCATATTGGCACATTAAAAAAGAACTTTAGAAGAAAAAAGGAATATGTGAAAATACCAGGTGGGAGAATAAACCAAGGTTTCTGCTTTTACAATTCCTGGATGTTTCCATTCTAGTTCCATCTCTTTCTGGAGAAGAATGAGTTCTACAATCTTTCCCACTGGTATCTTTACATGGACCATAATGGAGAAATAGCTGCAGATATGGACATCGAATTCATGGTGATTTCACCTGATGGGGATTTGATCAAAAGGAAACTGGGGAGTATAGAACGACAGAGAGTTATTATTAATGAAATTGCTCTTTCATGGATAAATATGGTCAACAAGGTAGGTCAAATGTTCTTGTGTCTTCTTTTTTTTCTAAAGATTATGACCAGTGGTGGCATTCAATTTTTTTCTATCACTTCTATGAGAGTGTGGGAGTGAATAAATGAACTATCTGTCAGTATTTATCTCTCCTAAATCTGTTTGGAATGATTTGGAATGAGTCACTACATATTTCACTAAGAGAAGCCAAGGAACTATTTGGCTAATATTAATATCTACATCCATTTTCATGCATGCTTCGTCACAATATATTTTCTTTTGCGTTCCTTGTTTTTCTACTTAGTCTCTGCCTCAATCGCAATGTGTGGAAAGTTGTCATCCTGGATTTGTCAAGCGGAAGCGAGAAGGAGAGCCCGCTTGCTGCTACGACTGCATTCCTTGTCCTGAGGGGACCATCTCCATTCATGAAGGTGAGGGACACCAAGGAAAAGGATAGGACTTGTGGAAGTGAATTCATCTGAAACACTGTCATACAAATACAAGTTAAAAGGCTGATTGAAGCTTAATTGGGTTTTTGTTTTGTTTTTGTTTTGCAAGCAGTTTGGCAGTTTGATCTCTCCAGTTCAGGGTTGACCCTGATTTCCATCCTTCCAAGGTTGGTAAAATGAGAACCCAGATTGTTGGGGGCAATAGGCTGACTATCTCTTCTTTCTGAAGAGATTTTAAGAAATGCTTCTTGGAAAATACTGCGGGTAACAAATTTTGTCCCAAGAAGGTATTTCTTGAAGAGTACATAATTTTTTTTAAAATGTTGCTTTTTTGTTTTACTCAGATACAGAAAAATGCACCAAGTGTCCAGATGAAAAATATCCAAATCATGACAGAATTTATTGTATCCCCAAAATTATATCCTTCCTTTCCTATGAAGAACTTCTGGGAATCATTCTGGTCTCCTTTGCCCTATTCTTCTTCTTAGCCACAGGCATTGTTTTAATCATATTCATGAAACATCTAGAAACTCCAATTGTGAAAGCCAACAACCAAGACCTCTCTTACATCCTCCTGGTCTCCCTCCTGCTTTGCTTCTTGTCTCCTTTTCTCTTCATTGGCCAACCAAGGAAAGCTACTTGCCTTCTCCGACAAACAGTTTTCAGCATCAACTTCTCGGTTGCTGTTTCTTCTCTCTTGGCCAAAACCATCACTGTGGTGCTGGCCTTCCTGGCCACAAAACCAGGAAACCGAGTGAAGAGATGGTTGGGGAAGGGTTTGGCCAACTGCATCATCCTTTCTTGTTCTAGTGTCCAAATTATGATCTGCTCCATCTGGTTGGGAATTTCTCCCCCATTCTGTGACTCAGACTTCCATTCCCAGCCTGGAGAGATCATCCTGCAATGCAATGAAGGTTCTGTTTTCATGTTCTACATCACCCTCAGCTACATG